CTGACGATAACTATGTGCCCATGAGCCCAGGGCCCCATCACTTTGACCCACTAGGTTACCCATCCACAGCCCTTCCTATTCATAGAAACCCCAACACAGGAAGTGAGAACCAGCCACCCCCAGTCAATCGCAACCTCAAGCCTTACTGGAAAGCAGAGCCAACATCCTTTGACCTGAGAAACAACGCTGTGATCGACGAGCTCCCTTTCAAGTCACCTGTCACCAAGTCTTGGTCCAGAGTCAACCACGCCTTTAACTCCAGCCTCTCCCAGTACTGCTGTCCCATCTCCACACAAAACATCACCAGCACAGACTCAGGAGACAGCGAGGAGAACTATGTCCCTAAGCAAAACCCAGTGTCTGCGTCCCCTGTCCCCAGTGGCACCAACAGCCCAGTTCCAAAGAAGAGTACTGGCAATGTGGATTACTTAGCCCTGGATTTCCAGCCAGGCTCCCTGAGCCCTCACTGCAAGCCATCCACATCATCTGTCACATTGGATGAGAAAGTAGATTATGTCCGAGTGGATAAAGAGAAGACACAGGCCCTACAGATCATCACACAGGAGTGGACAGATATGCGGCAGTCCTCAAAATCTTCCAAGGATGTCAAGGGCCATGAGATAGCTGCTCAGACTGGCTCTTCCTTGTCACCTCCTTCCCCATCCCTTCTGACATGAGCTGGACATGTTAAACCTTCCACCTCCCCTTGGAATACACCTACTTTTGTTATAAAGAAAAAATTAGGAAAATGGCGCCTGTTGCAGGATTTGAGAGTGGTCAGTAAAACTGTGATCATCAGAGGTGCCACACAACCGGGTTTGCTCACTCTGGTAGGAATTCTGAAAGACTGGTTTTTATTGGTTGTTGGTGTATGTTGGGGGAAGTCCTTTGTCAATAAAGCACTGTTGAGCCAATAGGAATCTAGATAGGTGGGACTAGGAGTCCAGGAGAACTCTGGGAAGGAGAAACACAAGAGAGTCGAGATGTAACGCCATGGGGTAGGAAGCCCGGAAACTTCTCCAGTAAGAGACATACTTAGATTAACAATTATGGGGTAATTACTTAAGTCAGAGCTAGCCAGTAAGAAACAAGCAAAGGCCAACAGCTTCATAATTAATATAGTCTCCTATTTATTTGGGACTGATGCGGCTCTAGAACCAGGCTGGCGGGAAGGCTTCTCTCAAGGAAAAGCTTCCTTTTACAGTGTACATCCTAATGATTGTATGATTTGCCTTTAGTGTGCCCTCCATTAGTTTTAAGGTAAGGCCTAAAAAAATTACTTTAAGGCTAGACAAATTAAAATCCTTGAATGGATATCCTGTGGGGGGTTCCTGATCCTGCTTTTTCCTGCACCCTTACTAAAGAAGGCAGAAATTGCCCTAAAACAATACAGCAAGCCTTAGATAGATTGCATCTTAGATCTTACTATTAGGGCATATAAGATAAGTTTGCAAATCTTTGTCAAAGGACCTGATATTATTGTTACCTTGCAACTCCTCTAAAATTACCTAGCTACAACAGAATATTGTTGATTGGAAATGGACACCTAGTGGGAAGACAGGAAATGCTGCTTCACTTCTTCAATGGGATCGAAAGCATGTCTGTTTAGCTCATATTTGGATTCCTCTATTGAGATCTCACCCTGATCCAAGCTCTTTGATGAAGTCTTGGGATTTTGTGGCATTCCCAAATAGTTGGAGGATGGACTAACAAACAGGGAAAGCAAGATGAGCATTGAGACTTTTTCTGCATCGCCACTGCCTTCCCCAGCAAGTGCACATCTTTTGCTCCTGAATGCTGGATGCAGGTAAAATGAGGCGGTGACCCCCAACCATCAAATTTTATTGCTACTTCACAACTGTAGTTTTACTACTGTTTTGAATGATAATGTAAATATCAGATGTAGGTGTCACAACACACAAGTTGAGATCCACTGGTTTAGACTGAAGTAAAAGTTTGTCTTGACTTAATGACATAATGTGACAGTACAATGGAATGAGTAAGAAGCATATTTATTTCCTTTTCTGATGAAACCCTTATGAAGGCGTTTACAAGCTCTACCTCACCAGCACTGTTCATAATCGGACACCCTCATTCAAAATACATTGAAGACACAGACACCTATGCAGTGTTATACTAGTCAAGGTATGACACACATAGAGGCCTGTCCCCTGCCTCCAGCAAGCTAGTCAAGTAAAGGTGTGGGTAATGTGATGAGAGGTGTAAGAAATGCATGAAATGAGATGGGGTGTGTGTAGGTCAAACCAAATTACAGATGATTGTTTTCAGTGTCAATAAAGTTATGTTCAAATAGTTTGAACCGGAAAAAAAAATGAATGCCCCTCATGTTTTATTGTTGTGGCTAAATGTCAAAATCGTATTTTATTACATCTCATAAGTTTCTTCTATTAGTTTAAAAAATGGAAATGCCAGACTGGTTAAGTGTCAACATTTATAATGCAGTGTGACATTTGAAAAGACATTTGAAGAAATGGACAGCTTTAAAAACAACCAAGAGGTCTGGAAAATGGCTTAGTAGTCAAGAGCACTTGCTGCTCTTGCAGAGGACCTGAGTTTGGTTCCCAGCACCCATGTGTCAGCAAGCGACCATCAATAACTCATGTCAGGGTATCTAACACCCTCTTTTGGCCTCTGTGGACACCAGGCTTGCATGTGGTCCTGGGCCACCTCCTGGGCTCCAAGACACATGAAGCCCAGCCCGAAACCACAGAGTGGACCCTAGACTGAAAGTTAAACATTGTCCATTTGGTCCACAGACTGCCATATAGGGATAATAGCAAACAGATACCCAAACACAGTTCCAACAAAGGCAAGACCAGATGTCCATGCCAATAAATTTCACCAATGACTCATCTCCAGTAGCTAGATTCCATCACAAAAACACAAACAACATGAATGACCAATATGTCTTTTCCAGAAACTAGCACCTCCAATATTATATTACCTGAGAAAACAACTTAGCTGATACACTCCAATGACTTCGAAATGGGAATTATTAATCCATTTGAGGAATTCAATGAAGATATTCAATGAGGGTATTGAATGATGACTGCAAAAATACAGTCGAATGGGATAGTTAAAACCACTCAACATATGAAGGTAGTTTAGTAAAGAAATAGAATCTCTGAAGAAAAACTAAGCAATTAGAACTTGAAATAAAAAACTCAGAAAATTATCTCAAAGGAAAACCTAACAACAGATTGGGTCAGGTTGAAAAGAGGACTGTAGATCTTGAAGACAAGGTAGATAGAAGAGATCATTCGGTCAAAGCAAGTAATAGATTAAAAACAACGACAATAAGAACAAATTCCTATGGATTATATATAAATTCAGCAAAGTAGAAGGATACAAAAATTAGCATACAATAATCAGTAACCTTCCCATATACAACAGAGAAACATGCCAAGAGAGAAAGCAACAATACATTTTCACAATAGCGTGGAAAACTGTCTTGGCATAAATCTAATTAAGTGAAAGACTTGCATAAGAAAAGGACATTGAAGAGAAAGTTGAATAAGATACCACATGATGGGTTAAACCAGCCTGGTAGAACATAGTCTCTCTCTCATTTTTTTTTAAACATTCTGTTAGTTCATTTGATAATGGAGTTTGTCTAACTGGAGGAAATTCCACATCATGTATTATCAGAAAATGTTAATTTTTTTCACTTGTAGTTATTTACCAAGAATGATTAAGACTTAAAATACTTAACACGTGATCATCTATAGTATTGAACAATGCTGCATATGCTTAAGTTTATCTCAATGTATTTTTATTTCCTACTACATGAATGTCTATTTTTATGAATCATAATGATGACTTTTATGAAGATATTCTTAACCACCATGTCTCCATCTTAGGCTTGGAAGCCATCTTGTTTTAAGGACTAACTTGGTTCATTCTTGTTTATGATTGATAAAACGTAATAAGAAAAATGAAAGTCCCTAACTCAGTGAAGGGGTTATGTGATCAGAACCTCAGACCCACGAGCAGCTGCAACAGCATTTGCAGCTACTCCCTTACCCCCTGAGAAAACTGGGAACCAGACAGCCTCTTGCCCTATAGGTCGTAAAACTAGTCCCTAGCCCACAATCGCAGGATGTGCTCTGGCCATAGAATCCCAGACCACAGATGTGCCAATTAATTCTACCTAACCAAATGGCAGTTATTGTCTTCTCAAGGCCCTTCATGCCATGATAACCTTGTATAGAAACTTGCTATGATAAGTAATCTCTGTAATCATGGAACCCTGCGGACTGATACTTAACAGTCTTGGGACTCTCCCTCCCCTTCTTTTCTCTTTAAAATGCCTTGCCACAGAGAAACCCTGTATGGGGTGGGGGGTTGGGGGGAGCCTTGCATTTGCAGCTCCTGCCTTCAACTCTCCGGACAGAGTTGAGCCCTGGCTAGCTGGTTTTCTGGAAATAAACAAACCTTATACCTGCATTTGGTATCGTTAATCTCCTTGAAGCCTTGGGGTCCTATCCTAGAGGGCACTACAATGATCAGATCTGTTTCTCAAAGACGGGACTATACCCTACCTAGAATCCTAACTACAAATGATTCTGCACTGCCTGTTTCAGGAACCGACAACCATGCCTTTGTTTGAAAGGATCTGTGGGATTAACAGTGGCGCACGCCCCTGACCCCAGCACTCGGGAGGCAGAGGCAGGCGGATCTCTGTGAGTTCATGGCCAGCCTGGTCTAAGGAGCAAGTCCCAGGACAGCCAAGGCTATGTAGAAAGACCCTATTCGGGGTGCGGTGGGGGGGGGCTAAAAAAAAGTCATAATACTATTTCCATTTATAGACCTTAAGTAGAAGGTTCAGTGTAAACACTTCAGGGGCTGGTTCCTCCGCACGAAGCCCAGCCGAACTTGTCAGTCTGCAAATTTACCTAGGGCGGCGACTTCCGCCATCGCTTGGGGTCTGAGAAGGTGGGACGGAAGCCCTGCCCCTGAGTCCGCCCCCGTGGCGACGGATGTCCAATCAGACGCCCAGGCCGAGCGGAGGGGCGGGCTTTCAGGCCCTCGAAGCCGGGGTCTCTCCCGTCACCTGGTCGCCGTCGCAGTCCGGTGTTCCGCGCCTGCGCAGTAGTCCTGGAGGCTCCGCGTGGTGCGTGCCACCCTTCGGAACCGCAGCGAGGACGCTGGGTGTCCCGGGATCTGGAAATGGTGAGTCTGTGGCAGGTAGCCCCAGGCCCGCCCGAGGTGCGGGACGAGGGCTGGGCGGGCTCCCCGTCGCCCCCCTGGTCCCTGCGCGGGGCCTCTGCGCAGCCCTGGCCCGAAGCCCCTCGGCTCTCCGTTAACCACGACCCGCAGCTTCTCATCTCTGCCCCCGCCACCCCACTCCCAAGACTCCAGGGTTTTGGATGCCCAGACGACCTCCCATCTGTCCCTGGGGCGCGATTCTGTCGCCCAGGCTCCCGAGGCCCCATCTGCCGGTGTCGTGGGCTATCTGCTGGCCGTCGGGGGTAAATGCCTCCGGCCTGGGCCCGCCACGGGGGCTGCCCGCCTGTGCATGGCTGCGGCTGGGTAGGTTCAGGAGGCAGCAGAGCCCCTGTGCCGCTGGGGCGCTGGGACCCACACAGCCGGCCCGCTGCGAGCACCGCCGAGCTCTGGTGGCCATGCCTGGGGAGGAGGGCACGCAGTGGCAGGCCTCTGGAGGTTGGCTTCGCCAGGCGCCCTGCAGACTTTTACCAGCCTCTCCTGCCTCAGGACCAGCTCGGCAGCCCAGGCGGTTACACGCCCCCTCAGCTTGGGCCTGGTAGACTCAGTCAGGGCTTGCGTCCCTGCATCTCTGGATTTCTGTGTGCCGATCTGAATCCTACCGTTTGTCTCTATGGTCAGTAGGCCGTCTTACCTAGACTTTTCTGGGTCTCTAACAGTCTCTTCCTCACAAGGGCAGTGCCCAAAATTCTGTACCCCCACCCAAAAAACAAGAGGCCCTTTTCGATGCAAAAGCGAAGAGTCTTACTCGAGCTAACCCCATTAGCTGAGGCCCTTTATCCATTCACCAAGATGAATGGCCGAGAAAGACCCCGAGAACCCGTGAGGTGGGGATCTTAAAGGACAGCGTAAGCGGAGTGTCCAGGGGTATGAAACAGTCACAGGATTGGTGGTGTCCAACGACCTGCCCTGTGTTGATTGGTCAACTGGTTATTATGGCCAATAGGCCCTCCCAGGGCGGTTGCTATGCTCTGTACAACACAGTTGTGCACTTGTTCGTAAAGCACACCCAGGGGCCATCTGACCTCCTAGTGACCAGAACAGGAGCGGTAAGGCCATGCAAGCACATGTTAGCCTGTCATGGCTGCTAAAACGGGGAGGGGAGCAGCCCTGGTCACTTCAGTGAGGCTGCTACAGATTGCAATCCTGATTCCCACCTCTTTTACTGGATGACTTTGACTAGACCCACTGAGCCATTTCGAGTCATTTGTGTGTGTCTGCCCCTAAGACTTCATGCTGGCTCATTGTGAAACTCCTTTCAGTTGCAAAATCCATGACCTTTGCTTCCCCTGTGTCGAGTTCTCAACAGAAACAAAACAAAAAAACCAAAGCAAACTGATTGGAGTAGGAGACACACGAGAAGGTGGAGCTTGGGCTTTGGGACCCAGTGAGGACCTGAAGGAAGGAAGGAAGAGAAAGGAAGTCAGGAGTTAGGCCCAGCCTGTATCGGTCTCCATTCCTACAGCGGTCTCTGCTGAGGAGTAGCAACCTCTTACCAGTGCCTGGCTGGAATGGAGACTGTGGGATCAAGACGGCCTTCTCTCTCCTCTGTCAATTCTTCCCTACAGGCCATCTCCTTACCCCAAGCCTTCCAGAAGCATGGGGAGTAGGGTTTCACTCCCAGCACCCTGATGAATGCCAAAATTTAACCTCCATGCAAGCATCCCTGTATGTCATCTTCTCCATCCTACAGCCTGATCAGCTCTCTATTCATCATGATGTATTAAAACAGACTGTATTTTGTCATTTCTCTCTGAGTCCTGGAGCAATAGTATTTTTAAGGATTAAAATCTAAGCCCGGCAGTGGTGGGTCACATCTTTAATTCCAGCACTCGGGAGGCAGAGACAGGAGGATCTCTGTGAGTTTGAGACCAGCCTGGTCTACAAGAGCGAGTTCCAGGACAGCCTCCAAAGCCACAGAGAAACCCTGTCTCTAGAAACAAGCAAACAAAACAAAACAATAAAAAGAATTAAAATCCACTTGTAAACATTTCACATGAGAAGATTTACTTGACCACCTGAAAGCTGTGTTTGTGTCTTTGCTCTCTCTCTCTCCTCTAGACTCACAGATCAGTGTGCCTTTGGCTGGAGTTTCCTTATAAATCACACAGGGTGGTGTGTGCACACTCTGCTCTCTTGGGGTGCTAGTGAAAACCTCCTGGTCTGTAAAGCAGCCTGAGGTGGGGTTGCAGCCTCTCAGAGGAACAGCTGGGAAGAATGTCCTTCTGTGCCCCATCTGAGGAGCACTCCCATTTCCCATGTTTGCACTGTGTCACAGTGAACATGGATGTGAAATCTTTTCCTTTGTTTGGCAGCTGCGTCTGTATAGCCCTGGTGAGCCTAGTACTCTTGTAGAGTGGGCTAGCCTCAAACGCACAGAACTGACCTGCTTCTTCTTCTGCATCCCCGTGCTGGGACTAAAAGCTTGGACCACACACCCAGCTAAAAGTTTTGTTTTTGTTTTTTGAGACCGGTTCTTGTGTACCACAGCTTATGTTGCTGACATGACCTTGGTCTTCTAATCATCATCCATTTAGTCAGGTTTTTTTTGTTTGTTTGTTTGTTTTTTGGTTTTTCGAGACAGGGTTTCTCTGTATTGTTTCGGAGCCTGTCCTGGAACTCGCTTGGTAGACCAGGCTGGTCTCAAACTCACAGAGATCTATCTGCCTGCCTCTGCCTCCCGAGTGCTGGGATTAAAGGCCTGTGCCACCAACCCCCAGCCTATTAAGCCAGTTTTTTTCTTTTTTTATTTAAATTAGAAACATGCATGCTTCAAATGTCAATCCCAGCTCCCCACTTCTCCCTTCCAGCCCCACCCCCCACTCCCAGCCCAATCCCCACATCTTTCCCCAAAGAGGGTGAGGTCCTCCTTGGGGGGATCTCCAGAGTCTGTCATTTCATCCAGGGCAGGACCTAGGCCCTTCCCCATGTGTCCAGGCTAAAAGAGCATCCCTCCATGTGAAATGGGCTCCTAAAGTTCATTTGTATGCCATGGTGAACACTAATCTACTACCCAAGGCCCCAGAGATTTCTGAGGCCTCCTCACTGATACGCCATTTATGGAGTTTGGATCAGTCCCCTGTTGGCTTCTTAGCCATCAGCCTGGGGTTCAAGAGCTCCTCCTTGTCCAGTCAGCTGTCTTTGTGGGTCTCACCAGCAAGGTCTTGACCCCTTTGCTCATCACTCCTCCATCTCTGTCACTGGGTTCCTGCGGGTCAGTTCAGTGTTTAGCTGTGAGTATCTGTCTCTGCTTCCATCAGTCACTGGATGAAGGTTCTAGGATGTCATATAAGGAAGTCATCAACCTTATCATCAGGTAGGGGCTATTAATGTAGTCTCTCCGCTATTACTTAGTTTTCCAGTTGGTGTTACCCTTGTAGATTTCTGCTCCTTTGGATACATCCCAGCAGTAGTGACTGCTGGGTCCTTTGGTAGATTGGTGTTTAAGGTTTTAAAGAACTGCAATGTCAATTTATAAAATGGTTTCTACTAATTTTCATATTAACAGTACAGGGATTCCCTCTTTGGCATGTCCATTTCCTCTCAGCACTTGTACTTTGTCTTCTTATTTCAACCTCGTTTTATAGTTACATTTCGAATGCAGGCATCCTGCTATTTGATGCATTCAGTATCTGATGTGAGTTCATTAAAATTCAAGCTGTCAAAGGCCACTGGCGTCTGTGGATAGAGTTCTAGGTCTTTTTTCCCTCTTAACTACTTTACCATGCAAGTAGTTAAGTGCTCATTTGTTCTTAGATCCAGGGAAAGTTACTCATGGCCAGATGCCTTTATTTCCAGAGCTTTAGGTTTTCTGTATTGAATAAACTGAAGTCCTTGGTACCTGGGCCAACTCCTTCCAGGAAGAGGAAGATTTAAGAGGACTTGGAGAATTCATTTGGGGAAGCTTTCTGTGTTGTAATCCTCAGGGAAGCTCTATGCATGTTTTCTGAAATCTTTACATTAACAGATTTTTTTTTATTGATTTTTCTTTCTCCCATTAAACAAATCAAATGTCATCTACTATGAGACCCACACACAGAACAGAATGAATTCCCACTTTCTGTTCCAAAAGCTGAAGACTTGGGTTGAAGAGAAGTGTGTCATTACAGGAGCTGTTGTCATTTGAGGACATAGCCGTGGACTTCACCTGGGAGGAGTGGCAGGACCTGGACGCTGCCCAGAGAGCCCTCTACAGGGACGTGATGCTGGAGACCTACAGCAGCCTGGTGTCCTTGGGTGAGTCGGACTCCTCTAGAACTCTCAGAAACAATTGCTTTCTTCTTTAGGTTGATAAGATAGGGATCATTGCTTGTTTAATACTAATCCTACATTATACATTTTGATAGACACATTGTAATAGCATATGTGTTTTTGAGAACAGTGGTTTTGCAGTACGGTTACATCATTTATAATGATCAGATGAATGTAAGAGGTAAGTTTATCAGCTCAGGCATTACGTCTTTCTATTGTGATTTAATTGTTTTCAATTATACTTGCTGTTCTGTAGACCATGTTACTCATCACTTCCATACACATTCCAGGAACCACCACTCATCATTTCTCCATCCTGATCATGCATTTTTCCATACTCAGAGGAAACACTGTTTCTATTTCTACTTCTTTGCTGTCATCTTTACTTTGGAGATTGGATAACGGTGTGTGTGTCTCTGTGTGCCTGTGTGTGTGTCTCTGTGTGCGTGTGTGTGCGCACGTGCGTGTGCCTGTGTGCCTGCGTATTCGCCGTCTTTGACTTTTCTGGGAATCATCCACTCACTGTGAATGTAGAGGTCCTTCCAATGGTTGGGGGTTGGGGTGTTCAGAATCTTTTTGTTTTGTTTTTTTTTGGTGCATTATGGAAATTAATGACTAGTTTAGCAGTATTTTCTTATTTTGTAAGTTGATTTCTTAATTGCTTGCTTTTCTGTGTAGATGATTTTGAGATTGCTGGTGTCCCATGTGTTGATTCTTGCATCTGTTCCTATTCTCCACATGTATTAAAACACTGATGCTGCCCATGTATTCTAGGAACTTCATGGTTTTAACTTTCATACTTAACTTTGGATTCATTTTAGTTGACTTCTCTAGTGACGATGAAGCATCCATTACCTCTCTTTATTTAGCTTGTGGATGCCCTGTTTCTTAGCACAATTTACAAATGAGAACATCCCTTGTTAATATGAGTTCTTAAGACTTGTTGGAAATCAGTTGGTGATTATTAGTGGTCCATTGCACTGATCAAACACTGGATATATATTTTAAAAGGAGGAACGGTTTGCTTTTGCTTATAGTTTCGCTTTTAGTTGATTTATTTTAGAATTGCAAATGCATCTTTATTTAAAAATCTGAACTACCTATTTAGCATTTTCCACTAACTAGAAGAGCAAAGACCTTCACAGGCTCACACTCTTTTAGTTGGCTGCTGTTCTCCTGTCAACTTGTGCCAGCTTGTCCCTTTTTGCTTCCTTGGCAGCCCTGATAGTGACTATCACTGAGCTTTCCTGACTTCTGGTTTCTGATTCCTTTTGGTCACAACATCAGCAAGAGACCCATCAGTGACTGCCGTGGGGATTTGACTGCTTCCTGGATACTTTTGAACTTTCCCGACTGCCCTTTTTTGTGCTTTTTTAGAGAAGGCAGCCTAGCTGCTAGGGTTTCTCAGAAAGGAACGTGGGGTTGCATTAAGAAACGGGAAAGCTTCGCCTTGGGTCCCACTGTGGTAGATCTTGGGCCTGTAAAAGGGCAAAGTAAAGATGGTGAGAAGTTTGGCCTGGGTGAGGAAGAACATTGTGGTAGCACATAATGTTGCAAAAATTGCTCTCCCTATCCTGCAGCCAGGAAGTAGAGCAGAGCTGACAGTCCCTTTTAGGGCAGTTTCCTATGACATCACTTCCTACCAATGGATTCTCTCTACTAACATCTCCAGAAAATGGAGACCAAGCAAGTCTTTAACACCTGGTCTTTGGAGGACATTTTAGGTTCAAGCTGTCCCTCTTTATACCACCAGGACCTTGCCGTTTTGGTTGCTATCTCTGTAAAGCACTTTGAAGGCTGGTATTGCAAGGACTTTAAGTTTGTTTTGAGCAAGATTGTTTTCACAGGTAGAGTCTTCTTCCTTTTTTCTTTTGGTTTTCCGAAACAGGGTTACTCTGTATATTTTGGAGGCTGTCCTGGAACTTACTCTGTAGACCAGGCTGGCCTCAAACTCACAGAGATCCACCTGCCTCTGCCTTCCGAGTGCTGGGATTAAAGGCGTGCGCCACCACCGCCCAGCTTTTTTGGTCCTTAATGTGTATTGTTTGAGACACTAAGATTGCTTAGGAGACCTTTTTCTATTCTCTGAAGATTAGCATTGGAAATAAGATGATTTTATCGAATCTGTAACTTTACATAATATGCTATTAAACAATTTTGGGGGGATGTTTGCTTGTTTTTCTTGGTTTTCTGAGCAAGATATCATGGATTCTCAGGATGGCTTTAAACTTAATGTGTAGCCCAAGCTGGCCTCTTTGCATTTCTCTTATCTTAATGCTCTGAATCTTCCCATTGGTTCAAAGATGGGTCATCTTAGCTTATTTTTCTTAGTGTTTTAACTTTCATTGTAATTACCTTTTACTTCTTGGTTAGGAAATTTTTAAAATAGGCCAGGGTTACCCAGTGGTAAACAACTTTCTTGCATATCTAAGATCCTGTATCCATTCTCCACAACAGCAAAAGATAAATACAAATAAATAAACAATAAAATCAGTAAAATCACTGCAACTTTTAAAAGGGCCCCCTCCCTCCCTCCCTCCCTCTCTCTCTCTCTCTCTCTCTCTCTCTCTCTCTCTCTCTCTCTCTCTCTCTCTCTCTCTCTCTCTTTCTCTCTCTTCTCCCTTCTCCCTCCCTCCTCTCTTTCTTCCCCTGAGAGTCTTACTTTGTCATTCTGGCTGTTCTGGAACTTACTGTGTACACCAGGCTAGCTTCAAACTCAGAGATATGCTCCGGCCTTCAATTCTGGAATGTTGAGAGTAAGGCATGCACCTCTATTCCCAGCTAAGAAACAATTTAAAATGTTTTCAGGGGTCACTTTCAATGGGGTTGAGTTCTGAATTTCTACAATGTTCTGTTCTTCATGAACATAGAAGGTGTGATTTTTGGTGTTTTACAACTGTATTTTGTAGCGTGAGTTATTTGTTGTACACACACACTCACTTTTGAGCCCTTAATTTTTCTATAAGTAACATTATTTGCTCTCTAAATACAGACACTTTTTGTGTTCTCCTTTCTACTTTAAATTTATTATTATGTTTGTTTATTTATTTATTTATTTACTTGTTTTAAGGCAGGGCTTCTCTGTGCAGCTGTGTAGACCAGACTAAACTTGAACTCACAGAGATCCACCTGTGTCTGCCTCCTGAGTTTATTTACTTATTTTTAACATGTATGTTTTGCCTGCGTGCATGTCTGGTATTTGAGGAGGGCAGAAGAAGGCACTGGATCCCTGGAACTGGGGTTGTAGATGGTGTGAGCCACGCTGTGGGTGCTCTTAACCACTGAGCCATCTCTTCAGCTCCCCCTCTATGGTTGGTGGCCTTTGTCTCTTTATTGGATATAGATGTCGAGAGACCTCAATGCTGTGTTGAACAATAGTGGTCAAAGAGCACAACCTTGTCATGCTCAGGACCTTAAAGGAAATGGTTTCCTGCTTTTTCCATTCCTTCTGCTGCAGGCTAAAATTTTGTGGTGTATAATCATTACTGTGTGGAAATAGTCATATCTAATACATTAAGGGTTTATGTGAAGATAGGTTATTATTGTTTGTTTGTTTGCGTGTTTTCCAGACAGGGTTTCTCTGTGTAGCCCTGGATGTCCTGGAACTCACTCTGTAGATCAGGCTGGCCTTAAACTCAGAGATCCTGCCTCTTGGGTGCTGAGATTAAAAGTGTTAACCACCACCACTGTATTTTTAAAAACTGCCCTGTATACATCTATTATGGCATTCATATGGTTATTTATTGTTCAATGTGTAAATGTGATGATTGAAACTTGTGAATTTCTGTATGGTACATGTGGTGTTGTTGGGTAGTCACCAAAGAAGCCTGGTTGGACATGGGCTTAAACCAAAGAAAGTCTTTTAGCAGGCGTGGCAACCACACTGGGTATTCAGGACCCCAGTGTGGCCCAAGCCTTTTAAGCACAAAAAACATGTTCTAGGTTGACATACTTCAGGGTTAACAAGAACAGTTAGCTGGAAGTGGAGCTGCAGAAGCCAGAAAGCAGCGGTAGTACAGTTAGGTGCTCTCCCAGAACTAGGGATTGGATGGGTTAGGTCTTCGTTTACTTTTGGCTGTTGCTGTGTATGTGCTGAATTTTATGGCCTGAATGGTACTTCCATCATGGAGTCAGTTTTTGCTGAGGTCTGAGGGCTTATCATAATGGGATCCCTGGGATGAATCACTCATGATCCTTTTTAAATAATCTTTTCTTCTTTTTTCTTTTGTTTTTTGTTGTTAATGTTTTTGGGGGGGTTGTTTTATTTTATTTTGTTGAGACAGGGTGTAACAGCTCTGGCTATCCTGGAACTTACTCTGTAGATCAGGCTACCTCAAACACAGAGATACACCTGCTTATGCCTCCTGAGTACTGGGTTTCTCTGTACTGTTTTGGAGGCTGTCGGTCCAGCCTGGCCTCGAACTCACAGAGATTTGCCTGCCTCTTCCTTCCAAGTGTTGGGATTAAAGGCGTACGCTACCACCGCCCAACTTTTTCCTTCTTTTTAATCAATGGGAGGGAGTTGGGAGCAAGTGGTGTATTATATGCCATGTGTATATACATAGAGGTCACAGAATAACCATAGATTTTGGTCTGTGTCTTCCATCTTGAGATGGTGTCTCTTGTTTTTATGCTGCATATATCTGTCTAGGTGGCCTGTGAGCATGCTGGGGATTCTGTCTCCATCTCCTCTCTCCATAGGGGTGCTGGGATTACAGACTAATGTTGGCTGCTTTTTGTTTTGTTTTGTTTTGTTTTGTTTTGCTTAGTGCCATGTATCTGAAATCAGATCCTCATGCTTGCACAGACCAATGAAGTCATCTTCCCAACCCCAAATATTGGCTTTCTCAATCACTTTGGAGTTTTTCATAATTTTACTCCCCAGCCCCTGTTTATCAGTTGAGTTCTTCTTTAAAGCTTTTGACTGGTTCTCCCCCCCCCACACACAAAATATATTTAATCTACTACAAAAGCTTATCAATAATTGAAACTGACTTCTGGTTGTAGAATATTATGCAAAGATGTGTTATATTTGTTCATGCTATGGAACATTTGTTTAATGATGCAAAGATGTATTGCATTCTTAATGTTACTTTTTTTTTAACTCTGTGAAGCTGTGTTACTTTGCCTGTCTAAAATACAAAATTGGTCTAGTAAAGAGCTGAATGGCCAATAGCAAAGCAGGAGAAAGAATAGTCAGGTCTGGCAGGCAGAGAGAATAAATAGGAGGAGAAAATATCTAGAAGCAAGAGAAGGAGGACTCCAGGGGCCAGTCACCCAGCTACACAGTAAGGAATGGAGTAAGTAATTTGAAAGGTGTGTGGGATAAAGATAAAAGCTCAGAGCCAAAAGGTAGACAAGATAATTTAAGAAGAGCTGGCTAGAATTAAGCCAAGCTAAGGCCAGGTACTTATAAATAAGAATAAGCCTCCATGTATTTATTTGGGAACTGGGTAGTGGTCCCCCTAAATGGTCAAAGAGTAAAGAAAAAAAAACAACCAATAACAACTTCTAACTGGGAGTGCTTGTAGTTAGGAAAACTAAAACACATATACATACTTGTAAAGAGAAACCTTCCCGCCAGCCTGGTTCCAGAGCCACATCAGTCCCAAATAAACACACAGAAGGCTATATTAATTATGAAGCTGTTGGCCTTGTTTGCTTCTTACTGGCTAGCTCTGACTTAAGTATTTATCCCATAATTGTTAATCTAAGTATTTCTCTTACTGGAAAACTTTCCGGGCTTCCTACCCCATGGCGTTACATCTTGACTCTCTGTGTTTCTCCTTCCCAGAGTCCTCCTGGACTCCTAGTCCCACCTATCTTACTTCCCTATTGGCCAGCAGTGCTTTATTGACCTATACACAGGACTTCCCCCATCAATACTTATAACAAATGTAAGTACAACTAAAGAGTTATGAAACTCACAGAATTCTATAGATTTACAGCATGGAAGTGCCATAAATTTATCTGTAATCAGGTGTTTGGTGCTAGTCGTAAGCAACTATTAAGCCGAAGGCAGCAGAAGTGGGAGGGAATTACATAGTTTTAAGGTGTCACAATAAATATGTCTCTAAGATAGAAAAAAAGGTAATCTGAAATCTATTTAAATGACTAAGTTTTTTACTAGATCACTTACCATTTTTGGCAACTTAACCCACCATTGTAGGCAGAGTTTTTCACTGAGGCTGCTAGCCAGCTCCCAAATAACTACACAGAGACTTAATATTAATTATAAATGCTCAGTTGATAGCTTAGGATTGTTACTAACTAGCTCTTACAACTGAAATTAACCCATGTTTCTTATCTAAGTTCTGCCATGTGGTTCATGGCTTGTTACTTCATTTTCTACATGTCCTGCTTCTGTTTTCTTCAAATCATCACTTCATGTTATTTATCATGCAGTGAATGACTCTGATTATGGTATTCCAGTCAACAAAGAAAGTGAGAGTAAACTCTACCAGAAGCTTCAAAATTGTTGATCGCAGCGCCATTCATGAATTGGAGCTATTTGTTGTCTTGTAGACCTGATTCAGCATTCTTGTATCATTTGTCTATTATTTCACACTTTCAGGGCACTGCATGAACAAACCTGAGTTGATCTCCAAGTTGGAGCAAGGGCTTGGGCCTTGGAATGTAGAAGAATCCTCAGACAGGAGCTTCCCAGGTCAGTGAAGGCATGCTAAGCAAAAAAGGTCAGCAAGAAGAAAACTCATCAGTAATTGGCTATGCTGAGCTTTTTCCAGTGACTTTTATCTAAATCCATTCCTGATGAATAAGTCTCAGTTCTAGAATAAACATTAGCATAAAGAAAGTGATCAATATTAACTTGGTAAACCAGAATACCTCTAGAATAAAAGAGACATTTATACATGTTATTCAATAATAGCCCTTAATGTAAATCATCTCAACTTTCCAATCAAGGCATACACAAGCAAACTAAATTCTTAGAAACACCTGCATCTGTTTGTTTTTAGAAACAAACTCACTCATGACAACACAGACTATACTGATAGAAAATGGTATTTGAAGCAAACTAAATGTGAAAGGAATCAAAATTGGTTTTTTTCTATAATAGTTGAAGCATATAAGAAGCCAAAGAAAGTCTGTTATGAAACTGTATGAACTATTTCATTATGAAGTGATAGCAGATATAAACAAATATATGTGCCCTCAACATTTGTGTGCCAATGTTATAAATGACATGCCGCAATGTTTCAGGTAATGTCAGTATCCCACACATGAAGGGACTACATAGACAAGCCAAAAATAACACAGATGAAACTTTTGAGTTTCATTCTCAAAGCAACACATTTCTTTTACTATAAGCAGCAATACAAGGTCTTCATTCTTTTTCTACCTTCTTCTTAAAGTTTAAACAATTTTAGTCTCAGCACTCTGAATTTGTGGGTAGTCTCCTGTACATAACAAGTTTCAGGCCAGCCAGAGCTACATAGTGAGACCTTGTCTAAAAAAGTTATGACAGAGTTGCCTAGAAACTCATAGGCTACATAGACTGGGGTATGCAGTACAGAGGAAACAAGGAGAACCTGATCCAATGAGGTAAAAAAAAAAACTAACTCTGGAAATTTGTCCTCTGAGTTTTTAATCATACATACATATATACATGTTTTATGCATGCCTATATTGACTCTCACCTCACATATTAATAATGATGACGAAGATTTTAAAAGTTAAAAGCTTATACACTGTTAATAAAGTCCACTCAGGAACTTTTTTTTTTTTTTTTTGAGAAGGGGTTTCTCTGTATTGTTTTGGAGCCTTTCCTGGAACTCACTCGGTAGACCAGGCTTGGTCTCAAACTCACAGAGATCCACCTGCCTCTGCCTCCTGAGTGCTGGGATTAAAGGTGTGCGACACCACCGCCCGGCCATTCAGGAACTTTTTTGTTTGGTAGGTTTCCTTTGCCTGTCTATAGTCATGGTGGAATTATAGTAAGGACAGAGTATATAAACCTGTAGGCCTCTGTATACTAAGAAATTACTCATAAGAGCCATGGTATGGTAGTATTGCCCCGTATGCTCATCATCACACGTAGAGAGGTTTGTCTATAAAAAGTGTGTTACTCAGCCATCAATAATTGTCCATGATCATCCAGAAGTGCACCTTATTATCGAGTTAAATGAAGTAAGTTAGAATTGAAATAGAAAATATACAGTTTGTATCATACACTGAATATAGAACTAAAGTCAAGAAAGTAAACTGGGTAGATTTAATCAGAGTAATGGACCAGTTGATGGGAAAGAATGGGAGAGTGTGTTGTACAATTATTTTGTGGTTAAGTGAGGTTTTAAAAGTTTTCATTTGAGGGTGTTGTGGTGTGTATCCCTTTAATCCCAGCACTTGGGAGGCAGAAGCAGGTGGCTAGTCTGGTCTGTAAGCAAGTTCTAGGTCACCTCGAGTTACCAAATGAGGCCCTGTCTCCAGCATGTATCAATTTTTCATTGAAAAATTGTCAGCTATACACAGATAAATACACTGTAATAATAAACTGCTAGTAACTATTGATTTGTTTTGTTTTTTGAGACAGGATTTTTCTGTATAACAGTCCTAGCTATCCTGGATCTAGTTCTGTAAACCAGGCTGGCCTTGAACTCACAGAGATCCACCTGCCTCTGCTTCCTGAGTGCTGTGATTAAAGGTGTGCGCCACCACTGCCCAGCAGCTATTTAATTTTCATGAAGGTGTTTACTGTTATTTTAGAAGGTGGAGGAGTTATTTAAAACATACATTAAAGAGAGAATTTGGGAGAAGGTATCTTTTACTTTTGGAGGAAGATGCTTTGCCTCACAAAACCCATGGAACATTCTATTGCTTTTACCTAGTGTGATGTAAACCTTTTAAACACATATATGTAGGAATCATTTCCCTAACATGTATTCCTACTTAGGAGAGAGAACATTTGTTTATGCCTGCATCCTATATATAACTACTTAAAAATAAAATAAATTTTATTTCACATGAAAGAGGAATGCTACAGATGATAGTATATGTATAGTTAGTATCATAGAGAAATGGAGCAACCAGGATGTAGCATATGAAATTACTCTTGAAACCCACAGCAGAGAAAGGTAAATAACTTGTCTTTGTGTTGTACCAGAGGAAAATGTGACAGTTAAAGACATGATTGAGCATATAGTGTTTGCTAGTCTCATTTGTTAAACAAATTCATGAAGTACTAAAATATTTACACTCGTTACTAGTCAATATTATGTTATAACTTCTATGAATAAAAAAAAGCCCACTTCATTTTAGAATTGCATCAAAAGACTAAAGTGTGATTCATGGATAATCTAATTTCAGGTCTTTCTATATTGACTGCCCCAACTGTGACCAACCAGGAAAATCACAAGGTGCATTTGTGGCAAGTTGAAACTACTGAATCCAAGGCATCCAGTGAAAAGATTGTAAGTAAAACATTCAACTTGGACACTTAGCAATTTAAACCTCACCATAAAGAGGGGAACCTACTATCCATAAGGATTTGATTAGGCTGGCATGATGGGTCAGTTGGTAGCATACTGACTTATGAGCATGAAGACCTAAGTTTGTTCTCCAGAACCCAGATAAAAAGCATAGAGTGGCTGGGTTTTGGTGGTGCACGCCTTTAATTCCAGCACTCGGGAGGCAGAGGCAGGTGGATCTCTGTGAGTTCGAGGCCAGCCTGGTCTACAGAGCGAGTTCCAGGACAGACTCCAAAGCCACAGAGAAACCCTGTCATGCAAAAAAACAAAAAACAAAAACAACAACAAAAAATAGTGGGTAGTATCACTTAAGTGCATTTGCAATATTTACTGAATTTACCATAAATATGTTTATGCATCAGACACATTGAATTAGCTTAGAATGATATTCTTGGTCAGATATACTAAAGATCTTTGATGTTATGGGGAAGATATGCAGGATGCAAGAAAGGTTTGCCAATTGCATGAAAAATCTTGAGTTATTCTCTACTCTATAGTTTATGAAGCTAAATATCAAGAAACAGTACATTCTGTATATCACACTGGCCTTAAATTCACAGAGATCCGCCTGCCTCTACCTCCCAAATGCTGGGATTAAAGATGTGCGCCACCACCACCCAGCTGACACTAACCACTATTAATATATTTGGAATTCTGTGATATAAAAGCAAACCCAATAAATGACAAAGTACATATGTCTGAGAAATATAAATATGACTGGGGGAAGTCATACTTCTTAGAACCTCAAGACATAAGCCAGGAAAAAGACCTCTGAAGGTATAAGAAATATAACAATTCTTTTATTTGAAGGCAGAGCTAAAGAAGCAACAGAAGATTCATCAGAGGTCAAGATCCTGTGAAACTAAAGCATGTGGGAAGACATTTTTCCAGAAATCACAGTGCACTGGGAATCAAAAGTCTCATACGTGTAAGAAAACTCTCAGTTATAAGTCAACTGTCGATAAAGATCAGAGACTTCATAAAGAAGAGATAAACTGTGGGTGTGAGAAATGCAGGAAAGCTTTCTTCCAGAACTCACATGTTACAGTGTGTCAGGAAACACCTACAGATGCGAAGCTTTGTGAACATACAGAATGCAGAAAGTCTTCCTCCTGCAACTCAGAACCTCCTAGTCATCACAGAGCTCATACAAGTGAGAGGCCCTATGAGTGTACAGAATGTGGGAAAGCTTTCTCTCACAAGTCGTACTGCACTCAACATCAGAAAATTCACAGAGGTAAGAAGCCCTATGAGTGTCCAAAATGTGGAATAGGCTTCTACACTAAGGGAAAACTTACTCTACATCAGATAATTCACACAGGTGAGAAGCCCTATGAATGTACAAGATGTGGGAAAGTGTTCTCCCTCAAGTCTTACCTCACTCAACATCAGAAAATTCACACAGGCAGGAAGCCTCATGAATGTGCAGAATGTGGGAAAGCCTTCTACCGATTAGCACACCTTACTTTGCATCAGAGAACTCATACAAACGAGAAGCCTTATGATTGTACAAAATGCCAGAAGTCCTTCTACTGCCAATCACAGCTTACTGTACATCAGCGAACGCATACAGGTGAGAAGCCTTTTAAGTGCATGGATTGTGGGAAATCTTTCTACCATAAGTCACACCTAACTCGACATCAGAGAATTCACACAGATGAGAAGAAGCCCTTTGAATGTACAGAATGTGAGAGAGCCTTCTACTCCAAGTCAGAGCTCACCGTGCATCAAAGGTCTCACACAGGTGAGAAGCCCTATGGATGTACGGAATGTGGGAAGTCATTTTACCAGAAGTCAACACTCATTCTTCATCAGAGGAGTCATATAGGTGAGAAGCCATATGAGTGTACAGACTGTGGGAAAGTTTTCTATTGCAAATCACATCTCACTCTACATCAGACAATACATACAGATACGCACCCATATGTGTGTCCAGAATGTGGGAAATGTTTCTATTACAAGTCACAACTCATTGTACATGGACGAACTCACACAGGTGATAAGCCCTATGAATGTACAGAATGTGGGAAAGCTTTCTCCCGCAAGCCACACCTCACTCGACATCAAGGCACTCACACAGGTAAGAATGGTTCCAGTATAAAAAGTGTAGAAACGCCTTCTGCTGCAGGTCACCACTCACTGGACACAAGGGGACACACACATGTGGCAGGCATTTTAAAGGAGAGGAATGCATAATGGCTTTCTACTTCAAGTTATAGTAACAGTGGACAACTCAGATAAGTCCTGAGAATTGAAAGAATGAGAAAGAGTCACAATCAAGAATGAATCTGAATAGGAAATGAGAATGAATTTGAATAGGAATCCTATGAAGCTGGGCTGTGGTGGTGCACACTTTTAATCCCAGAACTGGGGGGAGGGAAGTGCAGGTGGATCTCTGAGTTCAAGGCTAGCCTGATCTACAAAGTGACAGGCTCCAAAGTTACAGAGAAACCCTGTCTCAAAGGAAAAAAAAACCGAGAGAAAGATGAAATTCTGTAATGTAAAGTGCATGGTAATTCATGCATCAGAGAACATAAACAGACCAGAAACCCTGCGAATGTTTGGAGCGATGCTTAGCTTTCTCTAAGTCATCACTTAGGGCACATTAGTGCCTTCATACAGACAAGAAACCTTACAGATGTAGAGTGAAGAAATTCATTCTCAAGTCCTACCTGCCCAGCATGAGAGGCCACATGGATGAGAATAAGTATTGAGATTTTTTTTTATCATTTATTGAAAACTAAAACTCAGGAATAAATATTATGGAATAAACATGAGAAATCCATAGAGAGACCGAGAAACAATCATCCCTTTCTACTTAATCTAAGAGCACACAACCTCTTGGCCCCGCCTCTTCCTTCCCTGTGTGCCTCTCTCTCCTCTTAGTTAGCCAGCATCTAGTCAGCTGAATGTGGACTTCACCCTCCGAACTGAGGTTGGCTGTATGTGGTGGTCTTGGAGCAATCAACATGAGCAAATTTCCACCAACAGAGGAGCACAGAAAAACTTAGTAGACCCATTAATCTTCACTTGAGAACAGAGCATGCTGGCAAGTCAGAAGACTGATAGATTCAAGGATTGTGACATCCGCGAGTAAGGAATTCTGTATATAAGAAAAGTCATACATGTTAAAACCTAGAAATTTAAGGAATGTCACCCAAGTCTCATCAGAATCTTTTAATATATATATATATATACATGAAGATTGATTCAAGATGGTGGTGGGTGCCAACACTGGTAGGACCACAGAGCAGCTTGTATGGTGGGTCCTCGGTTCCCTCTTGGCACCTGGTCTGCAGCATGGACCTGCCTTTGCTCCTGGACTGCCAAGGACTGCAGTCAAGATGATCATACTGAGTGAGCTTTCTCCAAGGGCAGAAAGATGTACAGCGACCTGGAACTCTATTGGATCCTGCCCTGGACACCCTAACTTTGGGCAACAGCAGGGGATCTGAGACAAGTCTTAACAATAAATAGTCCAGGATTTTTGGTGCTTCAGAACCAGAGATCTTGAACCAGACCAATGATTCATTGCAATAAGTGTTTGCATACAAGCCATTTGAACAAAAAATATATTGTGTGCCACACTGCAGTTTTCAGTTGCCCTGACCAGCAGGGCACAACGGGTTTGAGCCCATGGGAACCGGGAATGAATAAGACAAGAGACACAAGAGAGATGGACAGCAAGACAGACCTTCAGATCAAGCTGCCATGTGTCGCGACCACCCTCGACCAGCAAGAATGACGCAGCAATGAGGAGTCTTCTTCTCACGGTTTATTCGGGAAAACTTGCTTACAGGGAGTGGCCCTGACCCCAGGAAGTCAGGGCTTAATATACTCAGCGATAGCCAATCAGCTACACATAGGTGGCACGCTAGGATAGGTCGTCACCAAGCAGATCTAGAAGGGTACGTGGCCTTACTCCTAATAAGGAGTTGTTTACTTACTGAGAGCACTCGCTGTACGGCTGGCGGAATGCGGAAACCGGCGCCATCTTATAGGTGCAGTACTCTGCAGCTCCCAACATTTCCCCCTTTTTGTTTTTATATAAGAGGAGTAGCCGTATCTATCTGTTATCAGATTTCAGTCATCTCTGTCTCATGTTCAACCCCAGTGTCCCTATCTTACCCGTCATAAAGTCTCTATGTCGCCCTCAGAGGCTCATGTCTTAGGTTGAAGGGAACACTTTCATTTTGCAAGAAGGGTAGATGCCTGTCATTGAGCATGACTGAGTCGGATACGTATCACTCATCAAAGGCGAGACAGACACCTATTTGTCTGTCAGCATGAATAACCATGCTTGAGGGGATTGTCACCACAGGCAGACAAAAATGGCTAACAACGTCATGGAAAGCATAACACCCATGCCAGCCCATTCCTTAATATAACTAAAAGCTTACTTAAGCTTTGACAGTGGACATCTCCAAGCGCATAGCATTCAGGGAAATAATCTGAGTAGTCAAGGTATCCATCAGGTTTTCAAACTCTTTACTCCAATTCCCCCGGAGGTATTCACTCAATTACCAGCTCAGGTTACTATTTTTTGTGAAGTTCTCAGCCACCCTGGAGGTAATACACAAAGAAGAGAGGGAATGAATACATCCTAAGTTGGTCAATATTACCAACTCATCCACCTGTTCTTGCAGAAGATCCACTCTTTGATTTACTGTCAAGATGCCAGCTTTCAAGTGACCATCAATAGATTTCAAAGTGGTCAATGTGGAGGCCATCTTCTCCACAATTTCATTAACTGTCTCAGCAGTTTGAGTTGTCACAACCATGGCAACGGCAGCTGTCGTCGCCGTTGCGGTGGACACAGCTATTGCTGTGACTAGGGCCGCCGTTATCCCAAAACCCCTTTTTGTTCTGAGCAGGTGAGAGATTGGGAAAGTCCCAGTATCTACTTTGACTGGGATAGGAACATATGTGGGAACTCTCATTACCACAGCTGTATTATAAGTACCATTCCAGCACTGACTTGAGATGCAGGCTGCCTCAGATGTATTACAAGAGACCGTGTCTCCTGTGGCATTGGTGACATTAGCCAGCAAAAAGAAGAATGGTGCTTTTAAGCACACTGGACTGGCAGGAACAGTAAAATTGTTCATTATTTTATTTATAGTAACATTCTTAAGAACACCCTTCGGGTCTCTAGTAGCAGAGATGTTAAGGAGCCGAACAGACAAATTTTGAAGAACAGCAAAAGGTTCTAGGGATGTGAAGGCTCCCCATTCATTAGATAGTACCCATTGAAACCAGGGCCAAGTATTTTTCTTACTTGTCTTTTGATTAGTCTGATTGGCAAGGTTGAAATAATATTTGCCTAAAGGAGGGGAAAACTCAAACCCTGGCGCGATCTGCCTAGCCTTATGGTCTGGGCTTTGGCAGGGCGTCCATTGAGGAGGGTACCCTAGATTGGGGGCACAATAGGGTAATACTTGACGGGTGGTGGAATTCCCTAGTCCAAAGCGTGAGTTCGAGGGTCGGAGCACCTCATCAGCATTAGTAGGGTAGTAATGTTCATAGCATTACTACCTCCATTGCCATTGCCTGAGCCCGAGGAAGCACCGGCACTTACTTGACTTAACACTTCATTGAGAATTGCAACAGGAATATGATTCTGACTCAGGGGATCAAGCCAATTGCCAACCAAGCCATTTTTCAACCATATGCATGGATTAGAATTATTTATGAGGGAAAAGCATAAGGCTCCTTGAAGAAAAACATTGGTTGCATTATATATAGTCTTGCTGGGATCTAAATTCACGCAGGGCAAACCTAATTCACAACTAGTGGAAAAGAAGACAGGCAAGACCTTAGACATAGAATGAACAGGTAAGGGAATTGGCCACGTTTTTCTATGGCCCACAAAATTTGTTCATTGGCCTGAATCATCAGCGGGGATGTCAGGGCCATCATCATCAACAGGAACATGATCGGAGGCTTCAACTTGCTTGTTGCACTGCCTCGTTAGTTTCTCTGGGATCCACACTGGATCTTGTTGATCCTGGGGAAAAAACACAAACAGCACCTCTCGCCCATGGTAACACTGGGTCTGGTCCATGCCATAGTCCTGTGATGACATCTTTCCATTTGACATACCCCTTCTCCGCAGGGGTCTGATTCTGATGCCTACCTGCAGCAGACAGACCTTGAACATCCAAATTTTAAAAAAAATTAAGGTAAAGAGAGCTAAGGATATTTGTTCCTTTGGTGTTCTACCATGGCCTATTCCCCCTTTTTGTTTTAATAAACATTCTTTCAATGTGCGATGAGCTCTTTCAACTATTCCTTGTCCTTGGGGTTTATAGGGTAGGCCGTGGTTTAATTGAATCTCCATCTGTTTACAAAATGATTGGAAATACTGAGCCGTGTAGGCCGGTCCATTATCTGTTTTCAATTGCTGTGGTTTACCCCAGGCAGCCAATGCCTCAAGGCAATGCCCAATGACATTGCAAGCCTTTTCTCCACTCATAGGCGTAGTGTGAATAATGCCTGAACATGTGTCCACGGACACGTGAATGTATTTAAGATTCCCAAACCCAGAAAAATGAGTGACATTCATCTGCCAAATCTTCAAGGGTAGTAACCCTCTGGGATTAACTCCCACACCAGGGGCTTGCAAGAATGTTACACAATGTTGACAATTCAATACTATCTGTCTAGCTTCTGCTCGGGATAGCAGAAATCTTTGCTGTAAAGTTTTTGCAGATACATGAAATTGTTTATGAAATTGCTGTGCTTGCTCTGCAGGGGAAGAAAAAAAGGCATATTCTCTTCTAGTGCACAAATCTACAGCTTCATTGCCTTTTGATATAGGTCCTGGCAAGTTAGTATGAGCCCTAATATGCTGTATAAAAACTTTCTGATCGCGATGCCAAATCAACCTCTGCAACTCCTGTAGGAGCTTGCAAACTGTACTGTTTGGTTTAATAGATCCTGCAACCTCCAGGGCTCTAACAGCATTCACAACATATGCCGAATCAGAAAATCAGATTAAAGGGAAACGGGCAATTTCTAAATACTTCAAGAACAATTTTACACTCAATAATCTGGGGGGGAACTAGGTGGATACTGAAATTGTATTGGATCCTGATGTTCTATCATATAAGCCCCGCAGCCTGTCTTCGACCCATCAGTGAAAATGTTTACGGCTCCAGGAATAGGAGCAGTTGCAGTCATCTTAGGAAAAATGACTGGGTGTTCC